GGAATGAGATTCCCAATCATATAAAATATACAGCTGATAATTTCCCTCCAAACTCTTGTTCCATCATCATCAACCGATGAAAATACTAGATTGGGTTGCTCGTCAATATTTGTCAACGGATCATCTCAACCGTTTGATTAAGAATCTCATAATTGTTTACAGTAATCGACAATGTACAGGAGCACTCTGCTCTCTCTTCCCCTCTTCCCCTTTCCTCTCTCTCTCTCTCTCTCTCTCTCTCCAGCCGTGAATTAATTGCCACTCTCGACTCTCTCCCCCTTTCTCTTTGTGTAGACAAGATCGCGAATAGTTGAAGGGAGAGAATTATGTATGGCGAGTCAACTAGGTGCCAACTCGACTGCTAAGCTACAGCGTCAACTCGTTCGCGAACTCAGGATGGTGAGGCGTGTACGGTTTACGAGTTGAGCGTCAAGATTGTCTGTTTGCCATCCAGGTCTTCTATCTTCTTCGTCAACTTCCATTGCTTGCTTCATTCACCGCTTTCTGTTTTAAAAGTTGCTTTCTTTTTGTTTTTTTAAACTGGGAAATTGTTAATTCGAAGTCATCCTCTTGATGACCTAAGAACTAGGGTTTTCTAGGTTTTGGATTTTGCTTTTTCAATTTCTAGTCAAGGTAAAGTCATGTATTCTGCTAATTTAAGGTTTCGTGATTTCGGGTTTTAATTTGTTGTCTGGTCGGGCAATAGTATTGGGATATAATCAGATGTACACCTTTATTTGTATCGTAGAAGTAGGGTTTTGATCTGGATTTCTGGAAGTGTGGGATCAAGAAAAATATTAGGGTTTTTTTGGGTTTATCTAATTTGTGAGGAAGTAGGGGTTTTCTTTTATCAGGGTTTGTTGAATTTGTGATGAGTGAGGAGACATCTGCTCCAATGAACCTGGATTTAAATCTAGGTCCTGGTCCTGAGGCAGAATCAGGACCGATACCAAGTGAAGCTGTGAATTTGGAAGATTGGATTGATTATCCTGCTGAGAGAATTAGGGAAGCTGCCATTAGGCTTAGAACTCGGCAAAGGTGGAGATGGCGACAGGTTCAAGTCCCAACTGAAAGTCAAAACCTTCCGGTCGAATTGAGTCAATTGATGGGCAATTCTGGAAATGGGATTACATTACAGACTGGGGAGGGTAGTGTTGCTGCTGAAGAAAGAAATAACGAGGCCCCCAAAACATGTGAAAATAACAATGGCTTTTTGGAGGACCTCGTAACCGAGAAAAAAGATAGTATTGAGAAGAGTAGTGGCAATGATGGGAGCTTTTTTGACTGTAATATATGCTTGGATATGGCTAGGGACCCTGTAGTGACTTGTTGTGGCCACTTATTTTGTTGGTCATGCATTTACCGATGGTTACATGTGCACTCAGATGCAAAGGAATGTCCAGTCTGTAAGGGAGAGGTAACAATAAAAAATGTGACACCAATCTATGGTCGGGGATACATAACCCGTGAACCAGAAGAGGACCTGAATGTTAAGATCCCTCCAAGGCCCAGTGGAAGACGAGTTGAGAGTTGGAGACAAGCCTTTCAAAGCAGTTCTTTTAGTTTTCCAATGGAAGAGATGATACGGCGTCTTGGGAGTAGGTTTGATTTGACCAGGGATTTGGCCCAGCCTCAGCCACGGGACTCTAGCAGCACCCGTGAAACTCAAGAGAGATCTAGTTCCCTGCTAAATAGGTTTTTAACATCTCGGGGGTTGCGTGGAGAACAAAATCCAGTTGCTCCTCCAAATGATGTAGACTTGGCACCAGGCATTGCAACTGAAATTGAGAGCGAGGCTCGTCGTTATCATTCTCTGTTAGTTCGAAGACCATCACATACACATAGAGCTGTGAGAATTTCTTCTCTTACATCTGCACTAAGTTCAGCTGAAAGGTTATTTGAGGCCTATCTCAGAAGCCACCCTGTTGGAAGAATCAGACAGCCTCCTCCAGTTGATGATAGAGACTCTTTTCAGCATTGCTGCTGTAATCATTCA